CACACCCACCTTCACCAGGGTCAGGTACTCCACGGTGGCCGCCCGCAGCGCTGGGGACCATTTCCTCACCGCATCGTCACACACCCAGCAGTGGACACCCCTCCGGCCCGAGTACACCCACAGGCGATGCCTCATGCCCAGGTCCTCTGCAGGGGGCACAGACGGGTTTGGGGGCACATCGGGATGGACTGTGGTGACCACCCAAAGCTGGCGGTGCCACAAACCCACCGGGCACCGGCATGTCCCCCAACCCCGCCAGAGTTCTGCCCCGGCTCTTCTTCAAGGTCTGGGCATCGCTGTGGGGCAGAGCGTGGTCTGCGTGTGCAGAGGGGTCCACGTGTCCCCCCCAGACGTGCACAGGGGTCCGCAGGTGCCCCCCAGACCCTCACCCGTGAGTGCGCGGTCGATGACGCGGACGGCGATGGTCATCAGCGTCCAGCACTTGGAGCAGATATCGGCCGAGCTGAGGGCAGAGTGTGGTGGGTCAGGTGGCCGCCCCACACCCCCAGATCCTCCTCCCGGCCCAGAATTCCCCCCCGGGAACCTGCAGCACGTCCGGACGTCGTCGTAGTCCGTCATGTCGATGTCGAAGACCAGCTCCTTCTCCTGCGGCTGGAAGGCCCCCAAGTGCACCGTGTTGTGCTGGTTGGGCTGCGGGAGGGACAGGACGGGCTCAGTGAATCAGGGACTGCCACGGACCCCCGAGCACGGTGCCCGGGACTCACTCACCCGGTGGGAGTAGACGGCCCCGATGTCGATCTTGTAGGGGTTGATCTTCTGCAGCTCCCGCTCCAGCTCCTGGGGGCTGCTGAAGGACTGGAACCGCACGTACACGTCGTCCCGCAGCGTGAAGGAGAATTCCCGCAGCTGGAAGTAGTTCTTCACCACTGCGGGGGCATGGAAGGGTCGGGGGGAGTGACAATGCCCTCACCACAGTATCGATGCCCCCCATCCCTTATCGATGCCCCCCGTCCAGTATCGATGCCCCCCACCCAGTATCGGTGCCCCCAATCCCGTATCGATGCCCCCCATCCCGTGTCGGTGCCCCCGCCCGGTACCGCCGCCGTAGCCGAGCCAGCGGCCGTAGGGGCCGTGCGGGAAGAGCCGCCGGTAGAAGACCGGGAGCAGCTCGGGCAGCGCCGCCGGTTCGAACGGCGCCATGGCGGGAACGGAGCGGCGGGGCCGGGCCCGGGGGCCGCCGGGAGATGTAGTCCTGCCGCGGGGCCGGGGCGGGACAAGGCACCGGAGGAGTCCCGGGGATGCTCCGGGGCGATCGCGGCGCGGTGAAGCCCGGGGGTGACCGGGGTGACCCCGGGTCCGGAGATGTCCCGGGGATGTGCCGGCTCCGGCTGGGGGCCAGGACGGGTGTCCCGGGGGTGTCCCGGGGTCCGGGGGTGTCCCGGGGTCCGGGGGTGCCCCGGTGCCCGGGGGGCTCCCGGGGCGGCAGCGCAGCGGTGCGGGAGCCCCCGGGCGCTGCCCCGGTCCCGTTAACGATTCCCCGCAGCAGCGGCCGCAGCAGAGCCCCGGGACCGGGACACAGCCCGGGGCAGAGCCCGCAGCACGGCGAGCTCCAGGCGGCAGCACCGGGACGAGCCCCGGGCCAGAGGATGGAGACGGACGGGGCGGAGCCGCCCCCGTTTCTGCCGGGAGGTCCCGCGGCCCTTCCCCGATGGTTGCCCGGGGCTCCGCTAATTAATCATTAACAGCGGCGCGCGGGCAGGGCCAAGGTCGATTCCTTTCCCAGTCCCGGTGCCGGTGCCGAGGATGTGGCTGTGCGTGGCGGCGGTGCTGGCGGGGCTGCTCCTGCTGCGGCGCTGGCACCGGGAGCGGCAGACGGTGCCGGGGCTCCGGGAGAAGCACGTGCTGATCACGGGCTGCGACAGCGGCTTCGGGAACCTGCTGGCGCGGCAGCTGGACGGGCGCGGGCTGCGGGTCCTGGCCGCCTGCCTGACCGAGGCCGGGGCGGCGCGGCTGCGGGCGGCCACCTCGCCGCGGCTCCAGACCGTCCTGCTGGACGTCACCTCCAGCCAGAGCATCGCCGCCGCCAGCGCCTGGGTGCGGGAGCGCGTGGGTGACCGAGGTAGGCTGGGGCAGACACCCCGCTGTCACCCCCACTGTCACCCCCACTGTCACCCAAGCAGCCCCCTCCCGCCTGCTCTGGCACAGCCGGGTCTGGGCGTGGGGCCGTGGAGCAGCCCCAGCTCATCCCGTCCCCTCTGCAGGGCTCTGGGGGCTGGTGAACAATGCAGGGATTGGGAGCCCCGCTGCCCCGAACGAGTGGCTGACCAAGGACGACTTCGTGAAGGTGCTGGATGTCAACCTGGTGGGGCTGGTGGAGGTGACCCTGAGCCTCCTGCCGCTGGTGCGGCGGGCGCGGGGCCGCGTGGTCAACGTGGCCAGTGTGATGGGCCGCGTCTCCTTTTTCGGCGGCGGGTACTGCGTCTCCAAGTTCGGCGTGGAGGCCTTCTCCGACAGCCTCAGGTGAGTCTGGCGTGGCACCATCCTGATTTCCCAATTTGTTTTTCTGGACTTTGCCTGGCACAGCTCTCAGTCCCCATCGTCGCGGCACCACAGCCGAGCACGGGTCGATGGGTTGTAGCTGCTGCTGAAGCGTGAACGGCACCTGTCCTGGCACGGAGCCTCCCTATCAGATCCTGCCCCCATCCAGGATCGGTTGGGACACAGCCCTGCAGTCCTGACCTTTGCTTTGTCCCCAGACAAGTCCATCCAGATGTGGCACATGTTTGCTCACACGCTGCCTCAGCCACGTGCTCAGGCACGGGGTCCAGCTGGATGGTCTTGCTCTGCTCCTCTGGCACGAGGCTGCTGTAAATCTCATGGGAGAGGCAGCCATGGGCACATCCCAGTGCTGATCCCGTGTCCCATCCCAGTGCTGATCCCGTGTCCCATGGCACTTGGTCCCTTCCAGGCTTGAGATGCGCAGCTTCGGGGTGAAGGTCAGTGTGATCGAGCCAGGCTACTTCAACACAATGATCACCAACGTCGAGAACCTGGAGAGGAATTTTCTTTCTACCTGGGAGAAGCTTCCAGAGGAAATCAAAACAAGTTATGGGGAGAGTTACTTGAAGCAGCGTAAGTACCTCTCCCAAAGGCTGAGTGATGCCGTTTCTCTCCTGACACGAGGCACATCCCTGGAATCAGGGGGGTCCCACGGGGGTCCCACCAGCCCGACACCCCACCAAGCTGCTTGGCTTCAGGGTCTCAGTGGCATTTTCTGCCTCTGCAGTTGTGGCATCAATGAAGATAATGCAGAAGAGCTACAACTCCGACCTGTCTCTGGTCACGAACTGCATGGAGCACGCACTGACCAGCCTCCACCCCCGCGCCCGCTACTCCGCCGGCTGGGACGCCAAGCTGCTCTACATCCCCCTCAGCTACCTGCCCTCGGCCCTCACGGACGTCGTGTTCACCTTGTTCTACCCCAAATCCGCAGGAAAAGCCTAAGGCGGGGATGCCAGGCTGAGGCACTGCGATGCCTGAGCCAGGGCCTGGTGACGTGCGGGGGGATCTGGCGGCGCAAGGTGAGATCCAACATCGCCCGAGGCCACGCTGAGGTCCCCGAGTTTGTTCCCTGCCCAGAGATGGCTTTGTCCTGAATAAAGACCCCCCCATTACCCTCCTGGCACAGTGTGATGTCACCCTCAGGCTGTGGCACTGAGGCTGTGTCGTGGGGGCTCCTGGGGGCTCTGGCTGTTCCCCCAAGTGCTGCTCCACACAGGGTCTCAACCCCACTGGGGGAGCCACAGCTGGACTTGTCCAAAGTGGCACTCCAGGGACTCACACACACAAATCAAACCCACGCTTGTTCTAACCTGGGCAGATTTGCCTCTGGGCACAGGGCTGGGAAGCCTCTAATAGCATCTTCCTCCTTCTCCACCACTTCCTCCTCCTCCTCCTCCTCCTGCAGAGCCGCTCAGTGGGGGCTGCCCCACTCCACTGCCGTGGCTGGGGACACCGTCCCCCTCCAAAGCCGGGCGAGAGGGAAGGGTCCAAGGTTGGTGGTGGAGGGTGGAACCAAACCCAGCTCTGGGGGGCAGCGGCATTCACCTGCTAAGGGCACAGCAGAGCCCCAGGGACAGGGAGTGGTGCAAGGCAGAGCTGGGGATTGCAAACCAGGAAGGCAAACTTCGCCCCAGGTTCTGCCGCAATCCCAGCTCTGTATAAATGGCCCGAGTGCTGCCGGCCCGGGCTGTCACCGAGCGGTGCCGGCCGAGGATGTGGCTGTGCGTGGCGGCGGTGCTGGCGGGGCTGCTCCTGCTGCGGCGCTGGCACCGGGAGCGGCAGACGGTGCCGGGGCTCCGGGAGAAGCACGTGCTGATCACGGGCTGCGACAGCGGCTTCGGGAACCTGCTGGCGCGGCAGCTGGACGGGCGCGGGCTGCGGGTCCTGGCCGCCTGCCTGACCGAGGCCGGGGCGGCGCGGCTGCGGGCGGCCACCTCGCCGCGGCTCCAGACCGTCCTGCTGGACGTCACCTCCAGCCAGAGCATCGCCGCCGCCAGCGCCTGGGTGCGGGAGCGCGTGGGTGACCGAGGTAGGCTGGGGCAGACACCCCGCTGTCACCCCCACTGTCACCCCCGCAGTCACCCAAGCAGCCCCCTCCCGCCTGCTCTGGCACAGCCGGGTCTGGGCGTGGGGCCGTGGAGCAGCCCCAGCTCATCCCGTCCCCTCTGCAGGGCTCTGGGGGCTGGTGAACAATGCAGGGATTGGGAGCCCCACTGCCCCCAACGAGTGGCTGACCAAGGACGACTTCGTGAAGGTGCTGGATGTCAACCTGGTGGGGCTGGTGGAGGTGACCCTGAGCCTCCTGCCGCTGGTGCGGCGGGCGCGGGGCCGCGTGGTCAACGTGGCCAGTGTGATGGGCCGCGTCTCCTGTTTTGGCGGCGGGTACTGCATCTCCAAGTTCGGCGTGGAGGCCTTCTCCGACAGCCTCAGGTACGGCATTGGTGGCCCCCAGCGCTCCCCTGTGCTCGTCCAGCAGCCTCTGCTCTGCCTCGCTGCCCCCACACGGGGTTTTGTGTGGCTCCCACAGACCTTGTGAAACCCTGACCAGGCCACGGGGTGGGAACACGGGCACGGCTGGAGCCGCAGTTTTGCAATGAGGTGAAGGGTTTCAGAGGACTCTTGAGCGAGGACGAGGCTCCTCTGTGTTTATGACGGGGTGCGTGGTGGGGGGTCATGGGCTCCCCCTCTCTCCCCCAGCCCTTGCCCAGCTCGGGACAGCAGCTCTGGCTCACGTCCCCCCCTCGGGCAGGCGGGAGATGCGTCCTTTCGGGGTGCAGGTCTCCATCATCGAACCCGGCGGCTTCCAGACGGCGATGATCGACCCCGCGCTGCTGACCAAGGACTTCACGCGCCTCTGGGAGCGGCTCCCGGCAGAGGCCCGGGCAGCCTACGGCCACCGGTACCCAGACAGACGTGAGTCCGTCCCCACGCGGCACCGTCGCCCCCGGTGACCCCCTCACCACCGGGCTGACCCCGCTCTGCCCCCGCAGTGTCCAAGAGCATCGTCCTCGTGCACCGCCTGACCAGCTCCCGCCTGTCCCCCGTCACCGGCGCCATGACCCACGCGCTGCTGTCCCGCTGCCCCCGCAGCCGCTACGCCGCCGGCTGGGACGCCCGGCTCCTCTTCCTGCCGCTCAGCTACTGCCCGGCCTGGCTGGTCGACACCCTCCTGGGCCTCCTCATGCCCACCCCGGCCCGCGGGAGCCCCTGAGGACGGCCAGCGGGGCGGGACACGGGCACGGTGCCCGCTCTCCCCGTGCCCCCGGCATCGTGCTCAATAAAGCTGGTGCAACGCTGGGGGTGCTCGTGGTGCCTCCGAGGTGTCCGACGGCCCCCTGGCCGCGGTGCTGGGTGACCCCTCCCGTGGCAGGACCCCGGCTCCTGCCTGTGCCTGGAGCAGCCGGGTACTCAGGGATGTCCCGGGTCAGCTGGCAGGGAACGTGCTGGGAAAGGCAGGGTGTTTATCCATCCCCTGGGCGTGTGGGTGGTGATCCCTGCTCACTCATCCTGCTAATTAAGGGCAGATTAGTGATCAGTAGCTGGGGGGCAGGTCCCTGAGGTTGGGCACTTGACTGCAGCACTAGAGCAGTGCTGAGGAAGCTTCTCCAGAACGCTTTCTTCAGCTTGGCAAAGCAGCACGACATCCCCAGCAGCCCCCACACGTC